ACAAGTTTTTGTTTACATAATATATGTGTGTGTACTGTGTATATTTATTGTGTGTATATATAAATACACACACATGCACGTAGCCTATATATTTAAGAAAAATATGTTATATTTATGCATTTAAAATATCTGTATATAATATCAATTATATTCATATAAATATATACATGGAAATATTTTCGAAATATATACTGTATGTGTGTGTATTTCTATCTACATAATAAATATACACAGTATACACATATAAACAAAAACTTTTATTTTGAATGCGATTAATCGTTTGACAGCAATTACAGATAGATAGATAGATAGATAGATAGATAGATAAGACATACTGATTATAATATACATAGACAAAATTAATGTGTGTACTGTCATTTTTTACACACATAATTTTATCTTGAATGAATGAGAGAAAAGATGCAAGGTCAGAGACAGCGAGCGATGGAGGGGGGAGGAGAGAGTGAGAGAAACAGAGGGCTTATGGTTGGAGGGGTGATGGTTGGAGTCAGGACTAATTACTTGCAGGCAAGATGCAGTGGGGAGGACGGGGTCACTAACTTTACTCTGACACCTGGACGCCTCAGTCATCAATGGCCTGCCGTCTAATCAGAAGTGAAGGGATTCAGGGCCCAGCGCTCTCTCGGAGATGATAGCTAATGACAAGGGTGTTGGATGCGCAGCCACACACGTCACACTATTGCAGTCTCATCACAAGTGTAACCCAGTGGAAGTATCCGCGTGTGAGAGATCCATCCGTATTATCACACATTAATAATAACACTAGTCTGCTGTTGTACTGCTTGAGGCAATTAGTTAATTGCTGCTTTATCAGAGCTCTATGCTGCCTGTCTTTGTGACATCCTCCAAGCTTTGACAATGCCTTGTTTCCCCTAATGCCCTGTGACATAGAGCATTGTACTATCTCCTATGGTTAGTGTCAGTGGAGTCACCACGCAATGAGGAAGCCGCAGTGCAATTTTCCTCTCCCTGTTTGAATTAAGACCAGATCAAGTCTCTGTAGGCTGTCAGCTAACACCTTTAGTGGTCATGTGTACTGTACATTCACTAAAACACGGCCCCTTTAGTCGCCTGCTCACTATGCGGGGCTTATTAGCATTGTTCGGCATGAACAAAAGAGGGACTACTTTTTCAAGCGTATGTAAATCGAAACTGTCATGCTTTCGAAAGGTATCACATTCCTGGATGTTTACTACCTGTCACAGCCACTAACGAAATAAATAAAAAAGTGTGATAAATAAAAAAGTCATAGTTTCCCTATGGTGTGAAATAATACATTAGTATGCAAAGAACACGTCCCTCGGACTTTAAATAAGCGTAATGGTTTAAAGTCAGGTATGTTAATGCGAATAATCATTGCAATTTCTGCTAATTTTAACTGTCAGTGGCCACAACAGCCTGTGAAAACATGAGGTAACAACTTAGCTTTTGTATCACTCCTTCCCAAAGGAGGATCTCGTTGAAAGAAAAACAACCGGGGACGCTGGTTCTAAAACATGTCTTTTCAAAAGCACTAACTGGCTATTTTCGAAAATAATTTTGGACTTTCTGCTCGCAGAAACCGCAGAATAATTATGATAGCATTGGACGGAATTATTCAGAAATGACTCAATCTGGAGTGCCTGCCATCTGAAAAATGGTTTTGGGCTTTTCTGGTAAAATCACTGCTCTTTGCAAAAATAATAACACACATACGCATAACTGACTTATTATGACATGAAAAAAAAAATGATTCGAGCATCGAGTATTGTCTCCATTTAATGATACAGCAATATAAACTCGGGGTCGGGCTATGGATCTCCTGAGACAATTTATGTCCATCAACAAAAAGCCTCTCATGGTGAAGATCTTGTTTCACGAGGGATGGCCTATTTTCTGTGAAAAAGCATTCCTTTGCAATCATTGCGATGGCACTTCTTACTGTAGAAATTATTTTTGCACCAAAAACTTGGTAATTTTACAAACAATACTGATAATCTCGCTGATCTGCTGTTGTTCTATCTTTTTGGGAATTTGTTTTTTTTATAAAACTTTCCTCAGGTACGATAGCAGGAGAGTGATAAAAACAAAACAAAAAACCTAAACCGTTAAAATATCTTGTCATGGCGCTGAAATGCAGGCGGATGAGAATGCGGCCACAGGGAAAAACAAAGAGCAGCTTTGAGGATCGCATTCAGAGGGTAACTGAACAAAGCACGCAGTCCTCTTCATATACACGCTTACGTCAGGCTAAAACAAAACGCATCTTTCTTTCTCTCTTTTTTTACGCCAATCTATATCAGAAAGAGACAGAGAGCATGTCCATTAGTGCATGTTGTTGGCCTACAGCTGCCATGAAAATAGTTCTCACTGCATTGGTGGTAATTTGGCCCTGGTTGCAAACCTCCTGAAGCATTATCACTCAGAAGAAACAAAAGAGTGGGAAATGCGGGGCTCTCTCAGCTCCCATCCGGCAGCAGCATTTAAAGACGTGTTCATCTCCAAAGTCAGCTAGGCCTTTTGTTTAAGCCCCTGCCAGACAAAGGTCTCCTCTTCTTACCTAGTTTTAATACACATGGAAGGAGGGGGGTCAGTGTGGCGGGGGAGACTCTCAGAAATAATTACCTCCATAAGATCCCATCTCCTCTCCAAGAGCCACGACAAAATGGAGAAGCAACCCAAGGATGCAAAAAAGCCCTTTATGCATCAACAAGCCCATCAGATGTTTTACAGGCCAAGCTACAAGGCAAAGAAATAGGTCCCACTCCACACGCACGCAATTATAGTGCTTTCTTCTTTTGTCTTTCTTTAAGGGCTAAAATACATGCAAACACACACACGTGCGCACACACACAAAGACACTGTTGCTGTTATTTAACCTTTTTATCACAAAAATGAATGTGTTAAATATAACGCAAATATAATGCAAAAGAGAGTCATACAATAGATAAAATATTAATACAAATAGCCTTACTTAAGCTATCGATTTAGCTTTATGAGAAAATTCCAAGCAGTAGTTATTCCAGAACAGAAATCAGCTATGTAAATATCATTTAGAAGCTAATAAACAAAACCCTGTCGCGTTTTGCACGTTCTTACGTATCGCACATCTGTGTAAAATATGAGTTTGCAGGGGCCACATATACGCTGCACTGTGATTTACAAATGAGGGGCGCCACTTCAAAAACATGCTTAACCACACAACCCCACTGCCTTTCTAAATTCTCAGCTTCATGATGTTTACCTTGTGTAAATGATGAGCCTTCTGGGTCCCGAGCGCAGGGAATTACAGTCGCCCTGGGAGACTTGGCAGTCTGATTCTCAGGGAGGATGGGCTCATATAGTCTCTTTAGGAGAGTATTTTACTGTTAGTGCACTGCGAGAGATCTGCCATACTTGGTCTCGTTTGGCTAATTTAGCACGTTGAGCCCATAGAGGTCGGATTCATTATCACGCACCGCAGCAATCGTGCCACTAAAACCAGAATATACGACTTGTCTCCCTGACGTACGCAACGCAAGTCTAAACTGTGTGCAAGGCCATGTTTTAATGCTTTGCGTTTATCAACAAAAACAACGCTGGTGAATTTCTGCAGCGCAAACCCTTTTCGGCATTCTTTTGTAGTCTAATTAAACAATAAGCAGTCGGATATATGGCCCTCGTGCTACGGCATGGCTGTAGTTTGCTGAGTGTGGCTTTTGGCACTAATGCATTTCTCCTTTATTTAACCACCGTAAGCGCCACAAAATCTCCCCTTAATTACGTCTTAAAAATGGCATCAAAATTGTTTAACGAAATCCATTCACATGTACATGAAGTCGATGGCATTCTAACCTTTATTCCCAAATGGTTTTATAATTATTTGGCGAGTTTCCACGGAGCTGCTTTTAAAAGAAAGATACAGGTCAGCAGTTAAATTAATCTCTTTTTTTTTCTTCTCTCCCTCTCTTCATGAAACTAACTAATGACCAGAAAATGCTAAACTAAGGAGTTATACCCACGAAAACCTACCGGCCCTCTTTAACATAGAGCTGTAATTCAGCGAGGGCTGAAATGTTGCTTACTCCAGGACCTTTTCTCTGGAGCAGAGACACAAATTATTACCATCACATACATGCAGGCACCCGGCCCGGTCCTGAGAATGCAGTGGGCACTGTGTCACAGGGAGGGCAGAAATATATGATTTATCTAACTGGTCCTTTGGTGCACCCCGACTCCGAAGCACCTTTGATCCAGATATAATTAATGCCAAATGTAAAACACACTCATTTATTTCCAATATGGGTAGTTTTGGAGCTGAAGTTTCACATATGGTTTTCCGTTTAATCCCATCTGGTTCTGGAGTTCATATATAAACAGGACACTTTGGGGAACAGAGATTAATTCAGCTTTGTAATGCCATTGAAAACGTGTTAGTTGTTTCCCTCGGCCAGGTCAGGCAAAGCAAAAACAAGTTAAGCGTTCATTTGGTCGTGCGGCATTAATGTGGGCATTATTATACATTGGACCCTAATTCACTCTTATGTTTTAAATTACAGGTCCCTCTCAAATAAAACTATTCATCTTTTTTTTTTTTTTTTTGTTT